TTACTGTTTTAATTAATGGAGTCTGGTGGCTTTGACGGTGGCGATATAGCGACTGTTTCTAGTTAAACAAAAGGTTCTGTTTCGCTGTTGCGGATTGCAGCGCGCCTGCTCAGTACTGGACCAATTTCAATACATGTTGTACTAGTTAGTCACAGACAATAAAGCATAGTTTGATGATGTGATGGTGACATTGTGAAAATAATATCCAGGTTGAAAAATTTGCGTTCTTAACTAGATGAGTTTAAAATTATTTAACAAGTATAAGCACTTGTTTTGATGTTAAATCCGCTGATCTCCTGTGGGTCTACTTCTCATCTTGCTGCAGTGATGTTACAGTGTACTCCTACCACACCCATCAGTGATGCTGGGTGTCAGAGGTAGACTTTCAGCCAGAGAGGGCTACGAAACACTGCTTCTCAGTTTGGCATTAAATTACTCTCTTAAGGATGTGGAGGACTAGGAGTTAGCACTACCACAAAATTGTAGTTTTGATCCAATACCAATAAATATTAGCGAGAGAAACACCAGTATAGATAAAGATATTGATGCTTTTTATTGTTTAAAGCAATGTAGTGCAATGTGTCATGATTTATGATCAATAATAGGCCACTTCTTGATATGTTTACATTACCACTAAGTGATTTGCTGAAGATGAAGCATTAGTTTCTACTATTCTGTGAACTGCTTAATCACATTATTTTATTAGCAAATTAAAAGATGTATTGTGTAAAAGATGAGGTGATCTCTGTATGCATGAACACAACAGAATAACTAAGCACTAAGAAGAGTGTTCATATGCCCAGAATGTGATCTAATGCTCTAATACTCAGTGTAAGCTTTAGTATTAGTACTATCAATTTGGGCTGAAACAGTTCGATAACTACAATGTATCAACGCAAATTCTTTGCATCGAGGCTTCATTTAATCCATATAACTATATAGCACGCTGTTTTGCACAGACATTTATTACTGTCGCACATCGCGCTTAAGCTGTGTGAACACACAAGTAGTTATATTTTAACCGTGTTTCTGCCTAGCAAACGCAAATGCAATACAGATTTCACAAACAATAAAGATCTGAATCAGATGGCTGCTTGTTGAACACATCATCTATCAATAAATGCTGAAAAGAGAGATTTTCAAGATCACATCACTCCTAAAGTGCCACAAATCCTGCGTCCCAATTGGTTGAGTAAATAGACGTTATTCTGTGTCCTGTTGAACAGCCATATGTTGTGTCGTCAGTAGGACAAAAGTTAGGCATCATGCTGTTGACTGAGCAGGAGTAAAACTCAGCAACGACAAAACTGGTGGCAAAATTTGTATGAAAAGGAAACCCCATTAATCAGCCTTCCTCAATCATTCAGTCACTCCTCTCCAATCTTTCAAAATGTCACCCACGTCTTCTTTCCTCCTTTTGCTCCTTCCTGTCTGCCTAATGGCGCACCTCCATCGGCCGACACTCGTCCGCCCCCTTCTCTCACTATTATCTATCCATCTTCATCTGCCCTTCCTTTACCCCTTCTCTCTCTCTCTCTGTCCCTCTCTGCGCTGTTACCCATTTCTCTCCATCTGTGTCTTTTTCCATCTTTACTCTCTCATTTTCTGTCCTATTTTCTCCCCCACATGTGGTTTTGCTCTCCATCCCTCCCTCCTCTTCTCTCATCCCTCGCTCACATATGGTTTCTCTCTCTGGATCTGTGTGTGTGTTTGGTGTTACCCAGAGTTCACTGGGGCTCCCTACTCATATGTGTGTGTGTGTGTGTGTGTGTTTTACAGACAGAGATAGAGAGACAGTGTGTGTGTTTGTCTGCAGGTTTACGGGTTTGCCTGCCTGGACCTGTTTCTGTGTGTGTGTGTGTGTGTGTGTGTGTGTGTGTGTGTGTGTGTGTGTGTGTGTGTGTGTGTGTGTGTGTGTGTGTGTGTGTGTTAGGTAGAGTTCAGCAGGGCAGCAGCAGGTTATGCAACAGTATCAAATGTGGATCATTTAGAGGAAGACTTCACCCTCCTCTCCTTCAATCTCCAGTTGCTTTTTACCCTTTCTTCTCTTCCTCTCTTCCATTGCTTTTTGTTCGTGTTTGTTTATGTGAATGTATCCAGTTTAAAGGACAAATTGAGAAATCCAGTTGATTTCTGTGAGATCAGTCAATTAGTCATCTTTTAAGTGCTATTATGATGCTGGCATAAACAACAGGATTGGGTTGCACCAGCTATTTGTAAATCACAAAGTTTGTGTGTAAACTCCTTCCAAAGTAGCTCTTAGCTAGTTTCCAAGGAAGGATATAATCAAGGGCAACTGAGAGTCCAGCCATTTAAGCTCCGTGGGGTCGTTTTCAAGGGGATGGAGACCGCTTGGTTCGGTAGTGATCCTGGCTGTTGTGATGATTGTTGGCATTGTCAAACGTGAGCGTTTGTTCACTCTCCTGGGAAGAGAAGAAAGGCCAGCATTGTAGGTGGGCGATAAGCGGTGTCTCAGCCCTCATTCCCATGTTGAGTGATGGTATCTTCATTCTGGTGTAAATGGCTTCTTTGACTCCTCTTTCGAACCATCTGTCCTCCACGTCCAAAATACGTACATTGTTGTCATCAAAATAGTATCCCTTATCCTTCGAATGTAAGTAAACTGCTGAGTCTTGACCTGAGATGTTAGTCCTTCTCTGTCATGCGTTTGTGTAGTGGTTGTTTGGTTTCCCCAATATACAGGTCTGTGCATTCCTCACTGCACTGGGCACCATATACTATATAACTTTTCTTGTGTTTGGGTTTGCTGTCTTAGCTAGTTTCAAACTAGTGATTTGTTGAATTTGGTTGCACCATTAAACTTAAGAAATGTAACAAAGACCTCAGTAAAATGTAAAGCCATTCAATCAAAAGCAATCTGTAGTCTGGAAGTTATTGTAGCATCACAAGCTGTAGCATAACGCCCCAAAAATGAATTCTTAGGGGGTCAAACTGTAATTTAAACTTGGCTGATAATCATTTATTCATCCTAAATATGTTTCAGTGAGTAATAATCATTTAAAATAAAGGTGGCGCTATTTGGCCGTATAATCTGACATTAGTAGCGTAAAGTTTTGTAATTTTGTGGATTTTGAGTCAGTTTGTAAGTTTCGTTATTAAACAGCATTTTGATCAAGTGTTAGGTTATAATCTATAACTATTTTAACCCTAAACATTCCATATTCCATATTTAAGTAGCCTGTGTACTTCATCTTATTGAAAATGTACTGACATGCTATATGGTCAAAAATGCCATTATCATTTTTATTGAATTTGGAGGTTTTATATCATAATAAAAACAGTATTTTTGGCTGCTGATCAATTAAACAGGAATCTTAAGATAAACTTTTGGAAACATCATAGTTTCATAAATTTTACTAATCTCCTTTAGCTTTGAAGCTGCTACAAGTTTCCTGTTTTTAAACAGTGTAAACCAAATCTTACTCAACATGTTGACGTGTTGGCGTCTGAGCCAACGATCTGCTGGGGGACTTTGGTGTTTACGTTCTAACTGCTTAACAGCTAATTAAATCTCCCCAAAACTGGGAGTGTTTCAGCGAGTCACCAGCTTTTCATTAATCTCTCTATCTGTCTGTGTTTGTCTAGTTACTGGACCTGTTCACACAGTGGGATTGGTCGACCTACCTGGCTGACTACGGCAAACCTACCTGCAAATACCTGAGAGTCAACCCACACACCGCACTGGCCCTGCTGGAGAAGTGAGCAGTCCTTTATTTATGCATACGTCTACTGTTTGTCACTCTTTCCTGGTTCTTGTTTTTCTGTTCCTGGATTTCTCATTTCCTTCTTTAAATCCATTAAAATAGTGTGGCAACAGTTAACGATTAATGAGTCAATGATTAATGATTTTTGTCCTCAAGCAAAACTGCCAAATAGTCTCTGGTTCCTGCTGCTCAATCAGTTGTGACATAAAATATACTGTAAAGGTAAATCGTAATTGGCATTTTATAGATTGATCAGTTAATGTGTGCACAAAGTACAGAGCTAGAGCTAGTATGTGGTTAGCCTAGCTTAGCGTTAAGAGTACAAACAGGAGTAACAGGAGGCTCTATACAAAAGTCAAAAATATGCCTACCATGTTTGTGACTCTCAGCATCCAAAGCTTCTGTAAACCACGCTAATTAAAACATTGTATCTTGTTTGTTTAGCCAGCCAGAAATGGGGGGGGGGGACTACAGGCTATAACTATTTCTTCACAAACATCAGGACTGCACAGTGTCTTGTTACAATGCACAGGAACGATGGGACAAAGTGTGACAACCTCAGAGACCAAAAACAAAGCCAAAACCTGTGCTCACCCACCATAACCAGCACTATAGCCAGCACATTTTTTACATTTCTGTTTGGGTACAAATTAAACAAACAAGATACTGCGTGCTAATCAGTCGGCTTTAGAGGAGGGGATTTGAAAAGCTAGCTGTTTCCAGTCTTTATGCTACGCTAACAACCTCCAGCTTCATACTGACATGAGACTTAAAATTGATCTTCTCAACTCATAATTGGAAAGAAGCAGTATCGCTGGAAAATTTAGAGCTATTTCTTTAATGGAAATAAATAAACAGGTTTGTTGGTAGTGAAAAATCATTAAAACGCTAGTTAACTTCTGGGAACTCCATCCGTCTTTACCTCCGTCTCAAATGTTCTTTTCTGTCTCCCGTCTGTCCCCTCTGTTATGTTTTGACAGGTTATTTAAGCCGTGAGTATTGTCTCTGGTGTGCGTGTGTGTAATATTGGATTCTGGCATGTCTACAGACTACTTAGACGACTACTAAAGCGTGTCTATACAAGAAAGAGAAATAATTGTGGGTTGTTTTTTGTGTGTGAAGTCACTTTGGGGATTTACATTTCTAAACGCAAGCACATCTTCATCACAAATACAAAATAAACTCGTGTCATCGCTACAACAAAACCCACATCATGTACATCGTTATTGAGCTGCGGCGGAGATTGCCGAAAAACAGACACACACACAACCTGCGTTCACACAGAATATTATAATTTGAGTTTGTGGATTACATCCTGCGAGAGCTCTCACATAGTCATGTGCTTATACACAAAGTTTCGAGACTTCAGGCACACACACAAAGTCGTATGATTGTCCATTGTTCAGCACAGTCCAGTTGACCTTCCTTAATCAGGGTCAGTATTTTCTCTCCAGAGGGCCCGGGCCCGGTGGTCCCTCTGAGCCCAGGAGGAAGGAGCCTGCTGGGGGCTTGTCTGGTCTGCTGGGCCCCTGAACTTCCTGGAGGTCCACAACACAAAACACACAGTCTCATGTGACACTGAGCACACACATACCGATCTTTAAAACCGAAACGTTGTTTTTTTTTTTTTCTTCTTTAACAGGTGACTGTAGCAGAGATGTGACTGTACTGAGCATGCTCATACAAAATGCACTTGTGTGTGTGTTTCCCTTAATTACAGCATTTAAACTCAGAGAATGGAAACCAAAAAAATTATATTATTAAAATGTGAAATACTAAAACAGGCCATTCTTTGTCTTTGTCCTCACTTTCTTTCTCTTCCTTTATAACCACCATTTCTTTCTCTTATCCCTATTTTTCCCCATCTCTCTTCCTCTGTTTCTCCATCCGTCCCTGCTTCTTCTTCTCTGTCTCCAGGATGAGGGAGACGAGCAGGAAGAACAACGTCTTCGCCCAGTTCAGGAAGACGGACAGAGACAGACAGAAACTGATCGACACCATCATCAAACAGCTACGCAACCTCATCGCACAGCACCACGCCTAGAGCGAGCCACCAGCCTGATGAACAGACACCATTGATCTGTTCAACCCTACAACCATTGGCTGATCTATGCACCTTAACCTGTACTCCACAGAACTTCCAACGGCCACAACCGGTTCTTATTGGTCGTCTTTAACAACCAGTCTAAACCTGCAACAAGCTCACTGGATAGCAAGCTCTAACATAATCTTTACGCTTGGAGTGTGACAGCTCGCCTTTCACTTTATCTCTCCGCTATCTGACTTGTTATCAGGCCTCAAGTGACCGTACTTCCTGGCCTGTTACGTCTTACTGACTGAATACAAGGATATGTGAAACTCACCTAAATGTTCTTGGTTGTTGCAAATGAGCTGAACATTAATCTTTAAACGAAAACAAAAATAAACGGAGGCTCTCCAGTTATCACCTTCAAATTCACGCCCTGAATCTAACTGAGTAGTCTTATTAGGTGAAGACAAGAAAGGGAAGAAAGCTCTCTCTAAACATTCAGACCATAAAAGTTAACATAGCATATGTCAGTGAAAATATGTGGTTATCAAGTAGAAAAACAAGCAAGAACAGCGAGGAACAGTAGTGAATACCATATTATAAATAAATACACAAATGCAGTGACCTAACTCTGTTGCTCTACTTGTTGCTTCAGTTTGTGGATGCTGTCGGGGCTTGTTGTTGTATTTGTGGGTCTACAGGGTGGGAACACGTTAACTTTGTGGTGTTTTCATAAGAACTCGCATTTTCAGAGATTATTCTTTTTACCACAAGCCTCCTTATTTCCCTTTTCTGAAATCTAACTGGCTGGTTAGGCAGTCTGAATTTTTTCTCCTCTATCACATGAGAACCTTTAAGGTCTTCCACGTTGCTCTCCCTCACTGTGGCACAATGACATAGCGTAGTGAATGTACATCAGGGAGGGTCGTCTTCTGTGGCAGATTGTCATTTTTTTTCACGTTTTAATATTGCAACCAGAAAAACGCTGAAGTTCAAATCAGGTTTGGGAGGGGGGAGGGAAAGTAGATATTGGTTGCGAATTTATAGAATGTTACTCGAGTATCCCTTATTGTCTAAAAAAGGGGGGGATATTCACACAACATGGCAACCCTTTTCCCAACTTAATACACAACCTGCAAACACTTGAATTTCAATGCTCAGATATGGCAACCCCCTCTTAGTGTTTGGGATTCAAAAGGGAGGGTTGTTGTCCAAACATGGCAACCCATTCCTCTTCTTTCAGCAAAACGATCATATTTGAATGGGAGAAGGGGGGTTGAGCATTTTCTACTCTTCATGTATAAATAACTGGGGATGCTCAAGGCGTATAGTTTAGTTTGCCTGGTTGACTAGAAAGTAACTAATTTGTATACAAACCGTTGTACTAAGGCCGAGAGCGCACACTTTTGTCTCCCATAAACATATGCCAAGCTGAGCGTGTGTGTGTGTAGCATGGCCACAAAGGTTTGTTTAGTTGAAACACAGCACATAATTACATTTTCACGAGATTTTTTTTTTACTAGTATGGGTCTCTTTGCTTGGTATTGCTTTTTTTTCTTGAACTTGGGTGCAATAATAGCATTGGAAACTACAGCTGTGTGCGTGTGCGCGCGCGTGTGTGTTCGTTTCATGGCGCTTTATAAAGGGATTCAAACCTACAGTGTGTGTCAGAAGGGAATTCAAGTCTTCCTCTTCCTCTCTGCTGCACAGAGGACATTCAGTCGGTTGATGTCTGATTTACTGAGCGACATCATGTTGTGTTTGTGTTCACTTGTGCATGCCGGCACTGTGAAATCAAACGTGTGCATTCATGGATGTGTATGTTTTTTGTGTGTGTTTTCATCCATCCTTAGCTGTGTATCATTTTTAGGTGTTAGTAAGGGAATGGGGCCGTCGGTATTGAATGTGCCTTTGCTGTATTTTGTGTTATTTGTTTTCCTGCCAATAAAGAGGCAACACTGCGGCATTTGGACTCTGAACGTCCACACCGGATTTACAGTAATAAAATAAAATTTTGGATGTCTGGCCAAAAATAAGTCTTAACTCAAAGTCCACTTGCTAGCTTTTTGCAGAGCTTTCAACCACTCTGACAGTGTCCTGGAGGTCTATTTGTTATTTTACCTTTTCTGTGACAAATTATGAAGCTACACACTCTTATTTGCTTTTATCTGAGTAGTACTCTATAACAATAATTTTTAGATTAGACATGATGACTGATCAGTGGCTCTATCATAACTTACAACCTGAAATTTCATTATGTATGAGATTTTTAAGAATTAGATAAGTTTTCTTGTAAAATTAAGGTCTGTTTCTCAGAACTAGGACTTGGTATCTCTTAACTATTTAGATGGGGAGGTTTTCACGCAACTTTGAGATGTGAATTTAAAAAAAGCGTTTCTTTTCCTTTGGGGAATAAAGTGCACTTAAATGCACATTAAAAATGAAGAAAAATATTCCTCATGCTAGTTTTTTTTTTGTTGCAAAATGATCTTACTTTTGGCCAATGAGCTGCTCCACTTATTAAATTCCTTGCTTGAGAGCACAAGCAAGGCATTCAAACTTACAACCCTCCGGTCACCTGTTCTCCTGCATGAGTGTCGGGGTCCAGAGTCCTCAGGCTGCAGATGTCATTGTTACTTTGTTTTGTATTGTGTAAGCAGAAATCGTTGCTGAGACAGAAGCACTGTACATGCTGTTGTATTAAACCACTAATGAATGAAAGTAAAATACTAATACAGTTGCTACAAAAGCCAACAAACAAATATGGAATAAATGTTAAACTGTCGAGAATATTGTGTCTTGACTGTTATTCTTTTGAAGTTTCTTCTGTCACATCAAGGTAACGTTAGATCATGTCCAGCTAATTTATAAATAGAGATTAACCAGAAATCAGTTGTTTGCTAAATGGGCCTGCTGGGTATTTGCTCTGGTTAACTAAACTAACTAAAATACTCTGTTACAAGCAAAAGGTTTGCATTCAAATATTATTTAAGTAAAACACTTAAGTTTTGTCTGCCAGCTGTACTTAAACAGAGACTATGGTAGCTAACTTGATGAACAGCAGCTACAAGTGACAATTATGAGATAATGCTAAAGCTAAAAAGCTACGGTAGCAGCACAGGTGGAGGAGAGTCAAAGTCAGCATACTAAAAAAATATTTGTAAAGCATAGAGTATACTTGTATAATATAACATATATGAAAACTATCTAAAGTTTTCTATCATTAGCCGCCATTAGCTACTGGTCATATCAGACCAAGTGTATTGATTTGAGCAATACTGTTTTATTGATTAAGAATTCAACGTTTCATTTGTAACAGGAACACAAAGTTTTTTCTTCTCTCAAAGGTCACATTGGGCTTTTAGCACAGCTGTTTTAACAACCAAAATAATAATAAATTGTTGACATGTTAGCAGCCTTTTGATGTTGTCAGTGGTTGAGATGGACCTGACTTTAATGTATATCTGTGTGCTGTATTTCATATGCAGATCATACAGAATGTACAAAGTAGCTAAAGCTGCCTAGTTGGTGAAGAAGTTTTTTTTTAAGGAATAGTTGAACATTGAGAATTTGTTTATTTATTTATCTGATTAATTTTTTTTTTCTGTACCTTCAGACAGAGCCAGGCTAGCTGTTTCAACCATTTATGCTAAGATAAGTTAAGTATCTCCTCCAAATTGTTCCTTATCACAGTACTTCAATAAATGTGCTTGGTCACCTTCAACAGTGGAAACAAGTGCACCATCTCTGACTTCACCTCCTGCAGCCTACAGAGAAATGACAGACAGTAATATTGTCATTAATAGCTGACAAAAAACAAATTTATTCCAAGCACTTGTCTTTCCCTGTCCCTCTCTCACCAACACTGCCTGACTCTCATCTTGGCGACTCTTGACCTTTCAGACAGCAGGGGCGTCTGCTGCGAGGGATGTGATTAACAAGGTGTGTGTGTGCGTATGTGTCCTTGCTCAGTGGAGGGTAGCGACTCGAATCCAAAGCAACACAAACTCTCTGCATGCTCCAGGTTTCATCAGCTGACTGTGTGTGTGTGTGTGTGTGTGTGTGTGTTCCCAGCAGTCTATAGAGGAGCAGTGGAGCGCTCTCAGTCCAGGGATGCCTCACAGAAATCTCTCTTTCTGTTTTCTCTCTTTTTTGGGGCCCTTTGTCAACTTTTTGAACCCTCTCTTCTGCTGCACATTTCATGCACTGATTGAGGTGGGTTTTTTGAAAGCCTCTTCCTGTTTTATGTCACCTTAAGTCTTCCAGACAAAAAAAGGAGCTTAATCTAATGGAAGCTGCAGATTTCTTGGAAGTGGTGACGAGTCAGTTTGCGGCCATATGTGGAGGAGAGTCAAAGTCAGCATACTATAAAATATATCAAACACACAATTATTTGTTTAATATATGAAACCCATTTATCTAAAGTTTGCTAACATTAGCCACCATTAGTTATTGGACGTACAAGACCACATAAAGGCCAATTTTCACTTCTCCGTCGAGTTTATGCCGTAGCCAACGGTGTAGGAAACATGCCGTCGTGAGCGTTTATACTTGTGCAGAGTTGTCTGCGTAGTTCGAAATCCCACTGCCAACGTAGGCGTTTTGGTGGTGGGATTTCTATGTTCCACTGTGAGTTTCCTCTTCGTCATTGGTATAGGCTACTGAAACTGAGCGGATCATATTGGAGTTGGAGCTGATCGATGTTGAGAAGAAGTTACTTTTAGTGAAATTACTAAAATGCAGAAACGAGAGAAGGCGTCGAAGGAGATGACCTTCAAACCGGTTGAACCGGTTGCAGCAGCAAAACAGCGAGTGTATTGACTTGAGCAACGGTGTTTTATTAATAAGGAATTCAACTCTTTTTGTAAGAGGAAGGATTTGTTTGTACTTCTCTCAGTATTACAATAAGTAAAGGTAGGTACATATGTACACACACACACACACACACACACACACACACATATATCTCCATCTATCCATCCATCCATCCATCCATTGTCAACCACTTATCCTGCGTACAGGGTTGCGGGGGGCCAAAGCCAATCCCAGCTTACATCGGGCGAAAGGCGGGGTACACCCTGGACAGGTCGCCAGTCCATCACATATATATAGTTTTGACGGTGTTAATGGTCAAGATGGAGCTGACTTTAACCTGGGTAGTTTGATCAATGTACCATATTTCATATGTGGATCATACAGCTACCAAATAAATGTAGTAAAACGTACAACATTATCCTCTGAAATGTGTAGTAGACAACCCTGTCTCCAGGCTAGCTGTCTCCTTTTCCACTCTTTATGCTAAGATAAGTTAAGTATCTCCTCCAAATTGTTCCTTATCACACTACTCAATAAATATGCTTGGTCACCTTCAACCAGTGGAAACAAGTGCACCACCTCTGACTTCACCTCCTGCAGCCTACAGAGCACAAACAATGGTCACCATGTTTCCTTCCCTCAGGACAAAAACAATGCCCACTCTATTGGTAGAGAATTACAACACTACAATATGTCAGGAGGTTGTAATGGATAAATATTTTATAGACATAGCATTTTCTAAACATCCAAAGCCACTTTTCAAACTATTATCTTAATAGCAAAGCAAAGAATTGTCTCCACAATTTACGTTGAAAGGTAAAAAAAACGTAAGATTTAAACCAAATGTTACTTTTTCTATTCAAATTTATAGCATCTGATAAATTGCATGAAATTTTGGCTTCAAAAGATGGAGTGAAGGAAACAAAATAACTGGAGGAAAATAAGAGAGATGAGAGTTCAAGGTGTTGATCTCGCTTTCATGTTTCACTTGAAGTGTGTATGAACACATTTGTTCTGTTGCACACACAGTTTGAGTATTACAAGATGTGTTACAGTACGATAACAGGGCACGAGCTGCTGCGTGCATGCGTGTGTGTGTGTGTGTGTGTGTGTGTGTGCGTGTGTTATCTCATTATTATAACTTGTCTGACAGGGGTGTGTCTCAGATTCCTGTGGTCTGGCAAGTGTGAAAAGAAGCAGATCTCCCCTTTCAAACACACACACACACACACACACACACACACACACACAAGCATCCAGGCTTCAATAAAACAATCTCAACGTTTCCTTTGCTGTCTTTTGTCTTTTTAAGAAGAGCCAAACCTGGATAAAGAAGCTGTATATATAATAGATTTATTATGGGTCTGTGTATGAAATCCTTTTAAAGCTGCTACTAGGACTGAATGTTTACAGTTTAAAGTGTGTCATTGGCCCCACCAATGAGGATCAGGATCTCTCCAAAAACTCAACAAATTTAAATTAAATTTGGTGTAAATCTGGAAGAAGCAGCAACTGAGTAGTTTTTGGTGTCCATCCAGAGTTTTTCTCTAACATTGCATGATTTTTGGACATTTTTTACAATTTTGTCATGAAGTACTGGACTTTCTTTGGTGGAACTTTGTTTTTTTCTACCTGGCAACAAAAAAGTTAGCACGCATCTGGCACCCAGCGAGCAGCATGGCTCCTGAGATGTTGGTCAGTCAGATGGTCCTGAAACTTCTCACCAAATGTTCGATAGATTGCGACAGCATTTTGCACACCCCTCTGAGGATGAAGCATACAAACTTTGATGATCCTGACTTCCTCTACCGTCACCAGCAGGTCAAAATGCAAAAGAATCAGATTTAACATGCTCAACTAAGATGGTGAACATGGTGAACATTATGCCTGCAAAACAGGTCAGATTTCTCCCGAATTATGACAAATGTTCACAACTTTCTGTTCTTTTCATTACAGTTTCTGGCACTGGACAAAGCATCTGCCCCACAACCCACTCCCTCTCTCTCACCACCGTGTCTGCTCGGACAAATAGCATGCACATAACTCAGAAGAGAGCTTTCGGTCTGGTGGATTTCAGGTATAAGAAATGGAATATGTGAGCTGATGATAGCGAGGTAGAGGAGGAAGAAAGCCGCATGTATAATAATGGCTTTTGTGGAGCTTTTTCATTCATAGCGCTCCGTCCACAGCAGAACTGTGACAACAGCTACTCTGACGTCAAAGTTGCATCAATTCCGACCTGAGTGTCCAGACTCAGGTCGCATTTAAAAAGATCCGATCTATATCGGATTTGGACGACAGATGGAAGTGACCCAAATCCGAACTGGAAAAGATCACATTCCATGTGACTTGGCCTGTTCACACTGTCATAAAAAGATCAGATCTGAGTCACATATGGGCAAAAAAATCGGATTTGGGGCAATTTGGCCTGCAGTCTGTACGTAGCCTTAGTCTTGCTGGCTTATAACTGATCCACAAAGAATTATTAATTATTTATTAACTAAAACCATTTGTAACAACTTATAAACTCTTTGAAAAAGTGACCATATTTTAAGGTGGTACCAAAAATTCTTGAACTTTTCTTATTCAGATCCTTTGCGATTCAAGATTTAAGATTCAAAGATTTATTTGTTACATTTTTCCATGTCTTTATGCAAACATTTGAATATTTTTTCACATGTTTAAACTTTTTTGTTTCGTTTTATCTTGTGGTTCTTTTGCTTTCTGATCTCACTGTGACCTGCAGAGGTGAAAGGTCACCAAAGGTCGTCCTGGGGTTATGAGAGGTCATCGATGCCACAAAGGCCCACACACACACACACACACACACACACTCACACACAAACAGCGGCAGAGTCTCTCATCTACTATCAGTGTTGCTCTATCAGTGTGTGAGATGCTCAGGTTTGATAGGCTGTTCGAGCAGACAAGGAAGAGATGAACCGCTAAGAAAGAGGAAGTTATTGTATAACATACTAGAATTACTTCCTCCAAACACATATCAAACACAAGCAGGCAATAGAAGAGAGCAGAGAAAGAAAGGAAAGAGGAAGATATCTTATGTCCTTCCTTGTTTTCTTTCCTCTTTTAAATCCTTAGTAATATTTGCAGCAGACAACATCAATCTGCATTCACTTTCTTTATTCTTACCTAGTAATTACTTTGCGTGTGTCTTTTTGAATCTGTGAGACCTAAATTAGGCTAATTTCAAAGGGCTAACTGCAGCGGTTTAACAATATAAGCCAGTATGTCACAAATAAAATGATGCACACATACACTATACAGTGATGGTGGTAATGAGAGAGAGAGGAGAGAAAGAGCTGAGATGATGATGTAAACGAGTGTCATTGTTTCCACACACACACCTGTACATGGCGGAGAAGCTTTCAACTCTAACATCACTTCCTGGTTTGGGTTCCCGTTTGCATATTGTCTGGCTCCTGTGTCCGAGAGTTAAATAATCTGTTAATCAGATATCATTGTGTTAAACTGCTCTTCCTTCACAACCAAAGAGTCTGATGGAGAGAGAATAAAACAAAACTGGCACAATATGCGGTTGATCAGAAACCACAAAACTAACTAAAACATATCAGTGATATTTTCAAAATAAAAGCTTGATATTTGTTTTTCACACTGTTTCCTTACATGTTTTAATCCTATGCAAGTGTGTGTCTGCCTAAACTGTATGTGCATGACCACACTGCTATACCTACCAAACACACACAGAGGTCTAATGAAGATGGATGAGACAGCACACACACTTCTCGCCTCCTGGTTATTGATGAGCCTGAGGGGTCAAAGGTTATAGGAACACTAACCGTGTGTGTAACTTTCGCTTTGTCTCTTTCATCATTACGTTTTTTAGGGATAAGAACAAACATGTATTTTATTTCAGCTATCTTATTAGATTATTTTCTGTTTTCCATTTCTCTTCATTCTCCTCTTCCTTCCCTTTTCCTTAAATCTGAATTTCTGCAGTCACTTAGATTCAGATTTATTCCTTTTCTCTCCTTTTACGCTTTCCTTTTTTTGTAATACTCAAACAGATTGTAATCCTTCTATAAACTGAAATGCTTTTTTCTCCATTTCTTTGTACATTTCCATTCCTAAGGATTAGTCTACTTTAAAAAAAAAGTTGTCTGAATTTGTTGGTTTCTTCTCCACCTGGTGCTGCATTAAGGTTCAAATGTTCATCCTCTCTGCAGCTAGCTGGTTAGCTGGGCATGCTAACATGTTAAACCTACGTTAATTCCTCACACTTTGGTTCTTGTCTTTTTTGGGTTTTCTAAAGTCTTTAGCCAAATTCACCTAGCTATGGTGGCTCGGCTCTGATTAGAGGGCAGGGTTTTCTGAGCAGCCAATTATGTAGGCCTACAAAGTTTGACTTTTTCAAACTTTGTCTCTGTTGGCTATCAAATGGAATTTCAATTTATGAATGAACATTAATATGCATTTGGGTACTTGTTTTCTTTTCTAAAACTATCAGAATTAGCCTAAAATATCAAGTCGGGAACTCCTTTTTCCGACTTGGAAGACCAGCACATGACACACCAGAAAACATTTGTTCCAGTAACTTGATTTAAACTGGAAATGTCATCTCAGCTATACATCTCTCTGTGGACGCCTGTGGTCGGGTCCTCTGAAATTCTCCTCTCTTCTTTTCCTCCTCTCTCTATCTTGCCATCTCCTATCTCTTCATCTCTTTCACTTTTCATTCACAGTGAGTTATGTTAATATTCCCCAAAAATAGCTGCGGCCTGACCAGTGAATTCTCTTTCTCCCTGAAAAACTACTACTGTGTGTGTGTGTGTGTGTGTGTGTGTGTGTGTGTGTTTGTGTGTTTGAAGCCTTGCCACTTTTTTTTTATTCCCTTTTTGTTCCTGACCACATATGAGGAACGCTGAAATATAATGGAGCCAATTATTAAAGCTTAGCAGAGGCCTGATAGCTGTGTGTTTAAGGGATTGTTATGATGTGCATGTGCGTGCGTGTGTGTATGTGTGTGTGTGTGTGTGTGTGTTTGCTGGATTTTCCCCCTGGTATTTACGGTGAATGCAAAAACATTAAAGTGTCGGGCGGCATTACTGTAATTGCCGTTTTAGATCTGATTCGATACAGACCTCTCTGGGGAAATTTTCACAAATGTGTGTGTGTGAGAGAGAGAAAGAGAGCAAGAAAGGTAGAGAGAGAGACAGTTATCCAGCTGGGAAACTGACTAACCGATTATCGTTATGATTTCTGGGAAATGAGCAGAGTGAATGAACACAGATTAACTGTGTTTATTGGTAATCTGTTCCTTTTTTACAATTATAGTTCGTTTTGGTAAATGAAGTTCATTGTGTTTCTCTGTATCATCAGCTGTGTTTGGAAACATCTCATGTGAATAAAACATAAATATGAATCAAAACGTAATACTTTGGAGCACTCTCAATACTTTATGGTTGCTGCTTTCTTTTAACCCTTTGACGCTCACCCTTTTGGGAGTTAGGGTTAGAGGTCAACTAAATTAAATCAAATAGTTTTTTTATTGTTACACCCTTGCAATGTGAAGTAAGGTCAACAGCAGAATCTGAACTAATGACAATGATGATAATTTGGTGTCATTCTGGGATGATTTGGCTCTGATCTGCCTCCTACTGGATGTAGTATTAATCCACCGGATACGCAGGCAGATATATGAATAATGCTGCTCACCTACTAATGCAGACGTTGCGCACATTTTTTTCAAGGCTTCGGGGAGGTTTTATAAATATCAAACCCCTCTGATTTAAAAACTGATAATAGAAAGGGTAATCGTTAACCTTTTTGAAGCAGTTTGAGTTTGTTCTGTCAAAGATTTTACAGGCTGTCCGTGCAGTGCCGATGGTGGGACAAATTGGAAGTCATGCTGACTCACCTCACAGCATCCATTTGGACTTAACACAGCCATAGTCACAGCTCAAATGATTGTTATACCTGCCTCTGTTATAAAACTTGTGCTAATGTTCCCTCCTGCCTACTTTCTTTTAGCTCAAATGTGGGACATCATCCCATTTTAATACCAACAGGGCCATTTGTTTCTATCAACACGTCCTCATACATAAACAACAAAATACAATAAGTCGATTGTCCATTGTCGCAAAACGACATATGTGTCAATTGGAATGTACAACAACATATGACTGTTCCCTAAATGTACAAGTGTTGACCTTCAGTAAGTTAGCTAAGTCACGTGACTTTTAACATGTGGTAAACTGTTTGGTAAGGTTTGGACAACAAAACCACTTGGTTAGCTTTAAGAAAAAAGTCTTAGTTTGGGTTAAAATAAGTACATTACATAAGTAACGTGACATTGCCTACAAAACGTTACTTTTTAAGCATGTCAACGTTGACTTTCTTTCGCACATGACTCAGACCTCGGTGTCCTGAGTGAAAGTGAGTTTACTTCACTCATTCATCCACCCCACCACCCTCCTAACATGAAGGGTGCACGCTCTTTATACTACATCACCTGACTTCTTCTGCCACTAGACATCGGGCCTAACAAAAACTGTATAATGCCACTTAATAAGTTGTATAATGATCGACCTATATGGCTGTTTTTTCTGGTGAGGTTATGACCTTCTAAATCCAGATGTGGTACCTGTTGCTTTCAGATGTGATGTGATTTTCTCACTTCTTCTTGTTTTCTCCCAGCTCATTTCTCCTGTGGGAACAATAACAATAAATGTTCAGTACTTCATTGACTATTTCTGTCTCTGTTTCATCGTTGTGAGCAAACTTTAGAAAAAAGGGAAAAAAATGTTCAATCCACAATTTGTAACTTCCTTCTTCTTAATGAGAACGGTCACTTTTTTTTGTTATTAAATTGACAGTACCTCTGTACTTTTCAAAAGAATTGAGTAAGTTTGAACTTTTTCCCCATCACGGATACCAAAACAGAACAAGAGTTCGACACAAGCATTAAAAAATATGACTGAAGGAGAAACAAAGTGAGTTACAGAAAGAAGGAAAACACACACAGCAGTCATTGAGCCCAGATGTCTTCATTTGTCTCTTCAGCTACGCTCACCAGAATGACTGTTGAAGTCATATACAAACTCTCGTAAAACATGACTTAACTCAAACACACACCAATTTAACCACTCATATACACAAATGCTTGCTTTACCATGAGCTGGCTCGACAGTTTACACACTTTGACAAACTCACAAACACACATGTCGGTGTGTCATCATGGGAAACTGATGCTACATGTGTAATCTATAAACCTCTGATTAACAGCAGCGTGTGTGTGTCACTGAGTAAAAGAGTGTGTGATATGTACGTGCGTAACTCATGACGTTTGTGGGAAATAGGTTGTTGAACACACACACACACGCTTTGCCCCCCGTGCAGTGCAGACTAATAGTTTTGGGATGTGTATATCGCCTTGTTGGCACCGAACAGTGTGACTTCCAGCTGAAGGACATGCAGATGTTTTACAGAGGTGTCGGTGTGAAGCAGCGGGGGGGAGTTGTTTGGCGCTGCCCTGTATAATGCCAGCCTGCGGTCAGACGCTCTGTCAGACGTAATCAACACTGTCCATTAGAGACAGAAAGCTAGCTTTAGGGCAAATTCAAGCTTATTGGAAGAAAACAAATGTTGCTTTTTTTGCATGATGTGGTAATGTTGGCCTTTTTTTTCACATTTGTATATGCAAAACCATGACCAAAACTTTCCACTGATCTTAACCAAAAGAATTTATCCAAGGCTGAATAAACACTCGATGAAGTTGTGTTGAAGCACAGTTTAATGCCTCAATACTATAGATACCTTGAGTTATACTATCATGTCATAATTTCAGTAAACAAATCAGGTAATTCGACTGATCACACTATAACACTAGTAATGACTCTTTCTTTTTGCTTTTACTAACAATCAGGATGTTTCAAACTAAATCAGAACCTCAGGACGTCAGGGGTATAGGCAAGAGGCTCCATAATGGATCCTGAAAACTGGTCTCATTGTGTACAGGCGTCAAGGTTATTTCATAGTTGCTGTACAAACAAACCGCCAGAGTTGAATTAAGCGAGAGAAAAACAGAAAGCCAGAGGAAATAACAAATTTAACATAAAGGTGGGGTGAGCGATTCTAATCCATTACACGTCTTTTTGTCAAATTCAGATTTCTGAGTATTGCTGTCTGGAGCTGGTGTGCTGGATCTGTGCTTGGGCACAGTAGTGAATGCTAATGTCAGCAAGCTAAAGTTTAGCATGGATACTGTTTAGGCTACCATGTTCACCCTCCTAGAAAGACGGAAAGAGAAATATTTTCTTTTTTCTGTTTCGAAACATGTCTGTCGTCTCTCTCTGTCTTTTTTATTCCTATTCATTGTTGATTGTCTGTACTCTAAAAGACAAACCTTCAGTACATATTCAGTTTTGAAACCTCTCTGTTGTGGCATCACTGTCATCACATTTCCCTCTCCACGCCTTGTTTGTTCTTGTCATTTATCACCTAGTTTTGTCATTAAAATGGGCAGTTTCTCCCTCTCAGTCCTCCCAGCATCACTCTTCTTTTCTGCCCCACTTCTTCATCAGAGGGTTTATTTGTCACATCAAAGGAGCTTCTTTAATCCCTCAGTTTTGTTGCGTCATCGTATGTCGCCGCGACAGCTGACGAGGGTGGATTAAGGTCTGCCTGTCTCTCTCTCACACTCGAACAAAGAGATATTTTCTTAATTTAAACCATTCTCAGTCCCCACCAGTAGCGTAATGGTTCCCAGTGGAGCCCTTTGACGGCCAAAGAGTCTTCTGAAAGGAGGAACTAAATTTTGGTTAAATAAATGACTCAAACAACAAATGGAGCCAGTTGGTCCTCATAAATACAGATTGCTTCATTTTGTTTGTATTTTCGCAAGTTAGAGTCCTCTGAATTAAAGGTTTTGTCAAAACATCCTTATATCATCATTTTAAATTACAAAGTGTCTCAGCTAAAGATTCCCATGAACTGAGGCACTTTGCTAATTTCAGCTAAATTAAATTCAGTTGTTGGGTCATGACTGCCTTTGTAGAGTCATCTGGGAACAGCTTGACCTAAAAAAAAAAAACTGAGAGCGCCAATGAGAGCAGTGTGTTTGTGGCTGTTAATGTGTAAAATATTTGATTATGTAAAGGTTAGGGGTTAAAATTTGAGACCTGTTGCTGAAGAAATAAACTTTAAATTCTTTATTCCTGAACGCACAACCTCAGTTAGCAAACCTGATTCTTCACCAGCTTTCTGAGCTACATCTTGTTTAAGGGCAGGTCTGCTGTAGTCAGGACTACTTAAGCTGAGTTATTACAACAAAACATCAGACTTTAACACAGGAGACTGCTTCTTACCGATCTTTTGCCTCCTCCGCTTACTAACTTACTGTTTTCTTGAAACGACATTTCACCCTGACAATAGTGGCGTCAGATCAGAATACGCCTTTATGTACGATTCTGGAGGGCACGGGCCGATGATATGTTTTGTTGTTTGAGTTGTTAGCTACGAGACCAGCTAAAGACGCTCAGCTGGAAAAGCAAACCAACACCCCCAAAACAACAAGAAGTAAAATTACTGATTCTGTGACTGGACTCCAGGACTACAGCCCTGCTCTCACTTCCCTAAGACGAGACTGACGGTTTAAAACCCACAACCTCACAGTCCACAAAAGCAGATTAAAAAAGTTCTGATTAAAAGAAGCCCTAATTTAGTTGTCGCACACCAACTTTGTGGAGCAGCATAAAACAACCCACATCCTAGTTATACTCAGAAGTCTTCCCACAAGCCCCGATCCAGAAAATTTGGTGAAGAAGGGGGATGGCCACTTTGTATTTGATTGGTTCAAGGAATCTGCATGTACTGTTTAACCACATTTAGTCACTGACCCCATATCCTGTGGGAATGCAACCCAGCACAGGTAATTGTCTTATTCCAACAAAATCCATCCCCAAATGTGTCTTCTGTTTAGTTTCTTTCTTTGCTTTTTAAAAGGCACTGGTCTTTAATTTATGGTGTTTCTAGGGGACGAGACGATATTTTAACACTATATTTAAGAAATCTTCAATGACGACATATATGACTGGAAAAAATGTATTTTATCTGTCTGAAAGTCACAAATTGCAAAATACTGCAGGTGCATTTTGAAATGTTGCTTACATATTGTTCGTGTCTCGTCTGTCACTCTGTCGCCGTTTATTGTTTCCACCAGGAACCCAAAATGCTGCCACACAAACGATTTAAAAGTGGCGGGGGGCATCTTCGATGCTAATTTCACCCTCACACTCCATCATGCTGATATCACGAGACAGCTTTTACCCCGATGAGAAATAACGCCACGTTTTAACATCGTAATCTCATCGCACCCCTAGTTGTAGTTTTGAGCTGGATCTGCCACCACAGGCACAAAACAGCTTCAGTGTTGACTAATCTGACATTAACAAAGTGTTTATTAACACAGAGAGAAGCAAATGAGGATAAAGTTCATTAGCAGAATAGTAAAATCACTTAAATCCAGCTCGCATGGTGATCCAAAACAAAGAGCGCCACGTGTAAAACCTCCCTATAAAAATGAACCATTGGCCACATCTGTAACTACACTTTGAGTTTCAGTTCATTCAGTTAATGTTTCTTTTTGTTTTCTCTTGTTTTGTTTTGTTGTTTTCCTCCTTAGGTCTGCCAGGTCATTTTATTGTTAATTCATCAACACTGGGTCTGCAGCTGGCCAGCTGTTCTACACACAGCTTTCATTTGGTTAATGGAGGTTACCTAAGAGCACAAACGATGATAAAATGTGCAAAGCTAATTGGTGCAGTCTGTGATCACATAGATCAGAAGTTCATGGACTCATTTCAAATTAATATAATAAAAACCTTTCCGATGATCATCTTTTTCCACAGTCAGAAAGTCCAAAAACCCATCACTCTGTGAAGCAAGTCCAAATGGACTTTTACTGCAATTTAATTATTATTTACCTGCCTATTTATCCTCTTTCCCATCAGATTCCCTTTAAATATGACCATAACAGGAACATGATGGGCCCTAATGTGACGAGATTTGTAGCTTCTGAACCATCATAAAGATAGAAAAGAAAAAAGTAAAACACTGATTATATCAGTCTGACTTGTCTTGTTTGTCTACTTTCTGAAAATAACAACTGAGCTATCTCCATGAAAAGTAAGCTCCAACTCCCGAGAAAGACTGTGAGCTATGGATGCTCTGAAAGAAGAAGTAAGAGCACCTTCAAGTTAAGTTTTTTTTTGTCATTTGTTTTTGTACATCTTTTTGTTCACCAAAAGGTATAAATCTGCTCTACCTTTTTCTGGGCGCACCATGTTTCTTAATGGTTGCACCTTTAAAATGAAGTGAAATATTCTAAATGTCTTGTGCAACATTTATATACAAAAGTGGAATACAAGTATCTTTTGGAAACAAAGCGTCTCTGCACAACAAGTAACGACAAACTCACCTGTGGGAAAATAACTTTAACCACAAGTACAGTACAGTTACATTTTTGAGTTAGTTGTACTTTCCTTGAGTATTTCCACTTAATACTTTGAGGCAAATATTGTACTTTTTACTCACTTTAAACAGCTATATTTACTAGTTACTTTTCAGAGTAAGATTATACACATAAAACATTTGATCATCTTGTAAATATGATGCTTTGTTATGGATAAAAACAATTCAACAGTATAT